GAAATAATTATTATAGTTTGTATTCTAAGGAGCCTAGGTCGTGCCGGGCAGTAGAGCATTCCGTAGTCTCTACATACAGTACTGCACTAAATGCTAGGATATGCCTACACAGGTAAGAGAAGTTGGTAACAAACCTACCGTACTCGCGCGAATAAGCGCCCTGTTTGAATAAGCAGCCCTCCTAACGTGAAATTTCCCTTTCTAATTTGAATAATATCGTAAGATTTTCTTTTTAACAAGTCAATAATCCAATCAATCCTGGGACTGTGGTTGTTGGCATGATTTGAGCTGCAGAGTGGAAACACATTCTTCTTTAGGTCAATATCAAAATGAGGATATTTCTCTTGGACAGATGAGAGCTCCGATCCCTGGACAAACAGTATATTTCCAACTTTACTCGTTGTACATATTTGTCTATGCCTAGTCCTACTCCTCTTTTTCTTTTTTTGACCTTTAGCACATTCTCATCTGAGTTTTCAAGAAAAAATACAATGATCCTGGCAACCTGCTAATCTCAATTGGCCGATGGCCAACAAGCTAACCACTACCCACCACCACTACTATTTTGCTGTTATGTAAATATTCATGCATTCTTGTCATGAGCCATGTTCTTTGGACGATTATCTTTTCCGCCTAACCACCATTCGTAATGTCCTTAAATATTCTTTTTTCATTCAAAAAGTGTCTCTTGAATTTAATAATTTCCCTTAAGAACCCCTCGATTTTCATCTATTTCCATAAGCGCCCCCCTCAATTTCCACTCCACTTTTCATAAGCGCCCCATTCGAATAAGCGCCCCTGTTTGAATGAGTACGGTATTTAATGGCACTTCTAAGATCACCACTTCCAAGACTTCCTTATACAAACCAGCCAACAGATCTTTTTGAAAGATTCATTCTTCAAAAACGGCGACTTATTATATTATTATTAATATTGAATATTTTCGCCAGCCCCAATTTTTCAATTTTCCCCTCGCGAAGAACCATTCTCATCAGTTGGCTGTGTAATCGTTACGGTTGAGTGAATCAGCTGACTTCCCATCTAGCATAAAATAAAAACTGGGGAAAACTGTTATTTTACACATAATTGAGACATTTTCATAAGTGAAAACCAATATAAATGAAAAGAACGGCCAAATTTACGTTGAAATAGTTTGACACAATTTTTTATGGGGTTACCGAATGCAAGCCCTTGAAAGTCGGTCCATTTTAGGAAATTCCTTATCTTTTACCACCAGCTCAAAATCCTACAGCACCAGTTTTTTTTTTTTTTTTGGGACCCAGTTCACGAGCCTTTTAAAATACCGCACTCCAAAATTAAGTGACGTCACCGTCATTGTGGTCACCCATCCCTCTATTTTATATTAAATGTTTCATCCCCGCATCCCCCTTTTTAAAAAAATCATTGAATTGAAGGATTTTTTAAGATATGCATGTTAAATGAAAAAAATATTCATTTAAAATATATAATTGTGTATATCTTATTTTGAAATGATTAAACAATACAATAATGACAATAATGCTCTTGGTGTTGTTTTAATCTTTTGCTGTTTAATGCCGTTCTTTCTAGAAAGCTTTTGCTGAGCATTCAAACTTAAAAATAGGATACTATCAACAGGATATTGATTTTACAATTGTTCATGGAGGTAGAAAAATCCTAAAAGAGGATGCTAACTTTAAATAAAGTTGGTGTGTTTGCTTTGATATAACAGTGTTAAAAATGCATTTAGTTTTTGTCAGTTGAATGCAAGGACTTTCAGATTTCTTTTGATGATGACTGCCGAATATGTACCAACTTCTCATTGAGGGTAAGTTGAGTGTTGACAAGCGTTGTCAGATAAACAACCATCAGAAGATCCTATGGTGAGAAATAAAAATAACTAAGTAAATCACATCTATTGTTTACTTACACTTATTGGATAATCTCAGATTCTGTTCATATTATTGTACTGTATTTACTTGATCATTCAAATAATTACTTGCCTTCATATTATCATTAATCATTTGTTCAAATTGTTGCGAGTCAAGTTGAGGCACATTGGACACAAGATCCATCAAAAATCGACCAACTTGGTTGTCAGCAGGGGTTTTACCGGTCTGAAAAAAAGGCACAATATAATTAAGCTATGATTTCTACTATAAATTCTAATGAACAGGGTAACAATATTTTCAAATATCAGATGGAATTATCTACATTATTTTTGTTTTGGTGTCTATTATCAATTTATGGTTGCATATGCATACTCACCAGTACATTGTCAACATAAGTGATAACAGTCATTAGCATTTCCTGAAGTTTGTAGCAAGCTTTCCCGACATGTTTCAGATCTGAGAAAATATCTACAGTTCTGGTGGTTGGTGACTTTCCTTGGATTAGAGTGTCCACTAAAAAATAACCAAAATTTAATACAGTTTTTAACAAACACAAAAAAGTAATACATACAAATATCTCGCAGGATAACCACTTTGACTTTTCCGCCACAAATGAAGTTGTAGTGATAGTCACAGAAGTACAACTTGGAATAAAATGGCAAATTCATTTATTTTATTACTATTGTAATGAAGATATAAACAAACATAAACCTGTAATATAATTTTTTTTCAGTCATCGACAAAACCTCCACTTCTACCTGCTGGCGACAATGCTGTCCCCGCATGTAATGGTTAATGGTTTAGAGATGTTTGGCAATGTGAAATAAAAAAAAAAAATAAAGATGAAAGTTGTCGCTAACTAGGGATTGATCTACAGCTACGGTTGGCACCTTTTACTCCTTAGGACCCAGAATTTATTGACAAACAGTAGCTTCCCATGACACCTTCTAAGCGAAACTCTTTTTCTCCTGGATGCTTAGTTTAAACATCGGTATAGGCCTACTACCAACAAATCTTGTCAAATCTGAATCTTAACCATGGGGGTTTTGTGTACTTTCATTTAGGATTCTAATCCGTATCATAACATGCATCCTTATTTTTGAGTTGTTACTCTATTCATGCTACATGCATCCAATAGAATGCTCAATAGTAAAAAAATATATATTTGGTCGTTCACATTGTATCTCGAAATAATATTGGGAACATATATTACTGCTGATTTCATATTATAAATGAATTTGCTTTGCAAATTATTACTATAAATTAGTTCTAATTTTAATGTAACTAATTCTTAGGTCAATAAAATTAAAATTAAAAACAGTTTGAATATCATCGTTGAATGGAAACTACCAAAACCCCTTATTATTAAGGATACAATATTTCACGCTTTGGTTTGTTTGTTTGTGTCTCCATAGTAGTGGTGCGCCTATACAGGGGACATCCTAATGAACAGGTTAGGTAGGATTTTACTTTCTGTTGATATTAAGATCTCTATTGATTATACTTTAAGTTCCCTTGATTGGAGAAAACTCAATGTAAGATGGAATGAACAGTTAACATTTTTTGACTTTTAAATGTTTAAAAGGGCATGCCCCTCCATACCTAACATCCAAATTTAATTTTAATCATGATATACCTTCAAAATGCACACGTAGCCCAGGGGCGGATCCAGAGATGTCCAAAAGGGGGGGGGGGGCGCTGAAAGGGGGGCCCCCCGAAATTTGGGCCGACCGAGACAACAATGTCCTAGGGGGTCCGAAATGTTTGTGTTCTAGACGCCGGAAAATAACATTTGAGGCGTTGTGGGCTATCATTTTTTTCTTTTTCTTTCTTTTTTTCTTTTCTTTTTTCACCTCCGCCCCTGTAGCCAAACGCATAATGATTTAATTGTACCACCTTGGAATATCTGCCAAGGTAAGAGGACTTTCTTATATTGTGCCTCAAATGGTTTTAATGAACTTCAAAACGAAATAAAGACTAACTTTAAAGAAATGACCCTAGTTTCATTCCAACATTCTATTAATTTTAAAGTTTTACATTGAATCTTCTTTTGACTTTATTTTGTATTATCTTCTTTTGATTTCATGGTTTGTTTGTAACTGTACCACTATGAAAATCAGTACTCAAGTACTGGAAAGTGCATGCTGTCTAAAGAAAGAATAAATAAATCCCCCAAAATCCTTGACTAGATCCTAGTACTAAAGAATATTTTTTTATCAGATCATCAATCTATTTCATTATCCCTTCAATTTGTAAATTAAAATAGTAATAATAATTTTTTAATTTTAGAAATAATAATCATTATCATTTTAATTATAGAATTTCTAAAAGCTTTAAAATCAACAGAATATCATCATAAAATATTGAAAAAATTTTCGTCAATAATATCTGAGCAAAATTACCAAGAGGCCAGAAGAAATTTTAAAACACTATCTAATTTTAATTATGAAACACACTTAACAGTTTATTTCTTCTAATTTTGGAACAAATCCAAAACGCTTTTGGACTTCGATTAAATCTAAACGAAAACCTGTAAGTTCTACAACCCACATTTCCAATGGGAACAGGGTCACTGACAGTCTGCATACGAAGGCTATTTTATTTGATGATTTTTTTTTGCTCCTGCTTTCTCAGACTTTGGCGACAATTCTGAGTGTCCGGCTCTGCCTAAAGTGTATGGTGATGTCCGCAAAAACATAATACACCAAGATGAAGTTGTTGAACTCTTGGGGTACATCAACACACATAAGGCGGCTAGAAATGAT